AATAGAAAGTTCAAAAGAACACCATTTATTTGAAATAGAAATATTCTGCAATGTTATAATTATGCTGCATTTACTGTCACTTTTAATTCATTTAATTTAAAAACGTTTGAACGGTATCATAACATATGAAAATGCATTAATATGATGCTATACACATGATATTAGCCCAGGCTAATCATCAGTTTTACACAATAAAATGTAATATCTCTTTGTTTACCAAAGGGTACTTGGTAAGAAAAAGTTTGAAGACCCCTATTTTAGGGAATAAAAAATAAAGCAATTAGTTTTGAGAGGCTGTGTTACACTATATACTGTGTACAGTTGCCAAGCAATCTAGTAGCTTGCTGCCTTAATACATAAATACAGATTTGTGTTTATCGCCATTTCACAGTGGCTGTGTATGCATTTCATCCAGTCAGAATTTTAATCAGACCCATCTATTTTATATTATTAATAACAATGATATAAAACAGGTTATTAACAACATGTCATTCATCACTAATTTTTCCTTTTCTCTGTTTTACCAAGCTATATTTCAAGATTTAAGGTCTCGTGGGAGTCTGTCTCTAAAGTCATGATCCATTTTTACCCACAGGACATTGCGGATCCATTCTTTGCCTATTGCAAGCAACACGCAGACCGCTTTGACAGGAAATGGAAAAGGAAGAACTATCTGGCCCTGCAGTCTTACTGCAAAGTGTCTTTGCAGGAAAGGGAGAAGCAGCTCACACCTGAAGCTCAGGTCCGCTTTACTCTGAGGCAGACATTGTCTTTCATACATCAGATAGGCTGTTGAATGTTCAGTCATAATTTATTTTTGAATGCTTGTGATTTCCCAACCTCTAGGCTCGAATAACCACTCGGCTCCAGCAGTACAGAGCGAAAGCAGAGCTGTCTCGAAACACTCGGCCGCAGGCGTGGGTGCCCCGAGAGAAGCTTCCCCGGCCGCTCACCTCTAGTGCATCAGCCATCCGTAAGCTGATGCGTAAAGCAGAGCTTATGGGTATCAGCACAGACATCTTCCCCGTGGACACATCTGATACCAGCGCAAGCGTGGACGGACGGCGTAAACATAAGCAGCCTGCCCTCACGGCAGAC